GAAATATCAAAAGCTGAAAATTAAATAATTATGCAAATTAGGTAATTAATATCTACTGATATTACTCTAAAAACTATCAGGTCTGTTCAGTGTCCTATGATATCTATGTACCAAGTTTTATTGAAATGTGATGATTACTACTTGAAATATCAAAAGCTGAAAATTAATTAATTATGCAAATTAGGTAATTAATATATACTGATATTACCCTAAAACCTATCAGGTCTGTGCAGTGTCCTATGACATCTATGTATCAAATTTCATTGAAATGTGATGATTAGTACTTGAGACATCAGTGGAAGAGCCGAAAATTGATTAATCATTATGCAAATTAGGTAATTAATATTGCAAAGATTTTTACCCAAAACTAATCAAATCTGCGCTTTAGTTTGGAGCATCTATGTGCCAAGTTTCATCAAAATCCAATGAGTGGTTCTTTAGATATCAGTGGAACAGTCATGGAACAGCTAAAAATCAGCTAATTATCATGCAAATTAGGTAATTAATATGCATGGATTTTTACCAAAACCTAATCAAATCTGTGCATTGGCCCAGAGCATCTATGCACCAAGTTTCATCAAAAATCAATATATGGTTCTTGGGATATCAGTGGAACAGACACACACACAGACAGACACACAGACAGACACACACACAGACAGACACATTAACTGCAAAGACTCCCTTTTTGTGCTTCGCACATGGGAGTCAAAAAGTGTGGGTTAAGACATATTTTGACCCATTTTTTTGTCTGAATTAGAAAGATAGCTAACTGAATAGTGGTAGTAATTGATGAGAAGAGAAAAAAAAACATTTTATTCTATTTTAAAGAAGCTCTGCTAAGCTGCAATTTTTACAATTCTTTTTCACTCCATGTAATGTATACTGAAATTAACAAATGAGAAAACACATGATTGTATATGTCAATTAAAAATAAAATAAACAATATTTTGAATATAAATAAAATTGAAAAAACACCTTTTGAATGTTATGTTGTACTTACCGACCAACTATCATGTTCTCTTTTTCAGAGGATTTTTTTCGAATTAACTTCCAAATGTCAACAACAAAAATGGTGGCTCCGCTGTTGAAAATAGAAGTCAATGAACTCATCAAAGCAGCCAACATCACAGCTATCATTAAACCACGTAAACCTATCAACAATTTAAATATGTAGATGTTAATTCCTCTTTAAAAAAAGTGGTACATTATTCTGCCATCAAGGTACACCCCTGTACTTCAACCGTTACTTAATAGTTATGGAATGTACATGGAACAATCCCAAGAAAATGTCGAACCAAAATAAATAAGTTTGACTTGAGGAAATTAAAATTTATTTTATGAACAGAATGCGAATCTGCAAAAATATTGCTTGGGTTTATACACAGGTTGCTCACATGTTATGCCTTGGGACTGCCTAAAAGTGGTCACTATAGGCAGGTAGCCTTTATACACAGGTTGCTCATATGTTATGCCTTATGACTGCCTAAAAGTGGTCACTATAGGCAGGTGGTCCTTATACACAGGTTACTCATATTATATGCCTTAGGACTGCCTAAAATGTGGTCATTATAGGCAGGTGGTCCTTATACACATGTTATTCATATGTTATGCTTTAGGACTGCATAAAAGTGGTCACTATAGGCAGGTGGTCCTTATACACAGGTTACTCATATTATATGCCTTAGGACTGCCTAAAATGTGGTCATTATAGGCAGGTGGTCCTTATACACATGTTATTCATATGTTATGCTTTAGGACTGCATAAAAGTGGTCACTAT